ACTTGAGGCACGAAGGCGAAAGGGAAACAACACGCGAAACGAGAAAGGAGGGGCCCGATCAGATCGTGCAGGACGGCGCGGGGACGCCGAGTGGAAGGCCTTGAAGATGCGGAGTAGCGCCAAGAAGTCCAGGGACCCGGGGATGGCGCAACAAAACTGATACCGTTACACACACTTACGCACGCTTACACACGCGCGCGTGCACTTGCACGCGCACGCTTACATATACATGCGAACGCAACACACACACACTCGCACACACACTGACACGAACACACACACAGACACACAGAGACACACACAGACACACAGACACACAGACACACAGACTTTTTGCGTCGGCGGCTGGGAAGAGAGTGACTGCTCTGGCGATCTGGCAACAGGGGGCGCACTGTATGCAAATTAGTGCCGCGGTGCACAGGGGAGGAGGAGGAAACCCCGGCGCAACGGGGAGAGAGGAAGCCGGGCCCGCTCAGGCAGACACACAGACACACAAACACACAGACACACAGACACGCAGACACACAGACACGCAAACACACAGAGATACAGACGGACAGGCACACAGAAACAAATACTTACGCACACAGACACAGACAAAGACACAGACACAGACACAGACACAGACACAAACACACACACACACACGCTCACTTACCACAAACGCACACACCTAGACATACTTACACGCACAGACACAAACACAGACACAGAAACAGCACAAACACAGACACAGACACAGACACACCTACACACAAACACACACACACACACTTACACATACTTACGCACACAGACACAGACACAGAAACAGCACAGACACATGCACAGGCACAGACACACAGGCACACAAATACACACACACACACTTACACAGACTTGCGCACACAGACACAAACACGGACACTGACATAGACACAGAACCAGCACAGACACAGACACAGACACAGACACAAACACACACACATACACAGACTTACGCTCACAGATACAGACACAGACACAGACAGAGACATAGACACAAACACAGACACACAAGCACACACAAACACACAGACACACTAACACACAGCTACACAAACACAGAGGCCGACAGACACAAATACACACAAACACACAACGACACATAAACATAGACACACATGAACCACACAACCACACAACCCCACAACCAGACAAATACACAAACACACAAACACACAACCACACGCACAAACACACACAATCACAAAACACACAAACACACACACAACCACACACACAAACACACACGCAAACACACAGACAAACCCACAAACAACCACACACGTACATACACGCACACGCACGCACACACGCGCTTGCACGCACACACACCTCAAGCCACCACACGCCCTACATTCTACACCAGACACCACACAAAAACACAGACACACAAGCACACACAGACACACAACCACACAAACACACAACCACACAGACAAGCACATACACAAACGTACAACCACACAACCACACAGACACACACAACACACAGACACACAGGCACATACAAACACACAAGCACACACGAACACACACATACACTCAACCAGGCACACAACCAGACACACAAGCACACGTACAAACATTTTTTGATTCGCGGGTCGAGAGCGCACCCCTTCTGGTCGAAGCTAAGCGGACCGCGCGAAGCTTGCCACACGTACAAACACACACACGCACACACACATACACGCACATACACGAACACACACGCACACACACGCGCACAAACGCGCACACACGCTCACACACAACACGCACAGCACGCCACACACCACACACGCAAACATACAAACACACAACCACACACAGGCACACAAACACACGGACACACAAACACACGCACACACACCTTCACAAACACACACAAACACACACAGACACAAGCGCACACGGACAAACACATACAAACACACCCACCCACAACAAACACACACACACACAACCACACAAAACACACACACACACGCACACTCAACCACACAACCACACAACCACACAACCACACACAAACACGCATTCACACACGCAGACAGGCACATAAGCACACACACCCACAACCACACACACAAACGCACAAGCACACAAACGCACAATCACACACAACACACAACCACACAACAACACGCACACACACAAACACACAACAGTCACACATACAACCACACACACAAACACAAACAAACACGCACACACAAACACACAGACAACCACGCAACCAAACGCACACGTACATATACGCACAGACATGCACACAGACGCACGCACGCACACACACCACCCCCCACCACACACCCTACATTCCACACCACACACCACACACAGACACACAAACACATAGACACGCAGACACACAACCACACGAACACACACAGAGACAAGCAGACACACAACCACACAAATCACACAATCACACACGCACACAACCACACAAAAACACTGACACACACACACCCAGACACACATAAACACGCACACACACAAAACAACACACAAGCACACAACCGCACACAAAACACACGGACAGGCACACCGACACACACAAACACACAACCAAACACACGCGCACATACACGCACGCACATACACACCACGCACCACACACCACACACCGCACATCACACACCACACACAAACACACATACACACACGTACACACAAACACACAGCCACACAACCACACCCATTCAAACACATAGACACATAGACACACAACACAAAGAACCACACAACCACAAACACACACAAGCACACACACAACCACACCATCGCACAACCACACGAACACAGACACAGAACAGTACAGACACGCAAACACACAACAGCACACACAAACACACGCAAAAACACACACGCAAACACAAACACACACACAAACGCACAAACAGACACACAAGGACACACACAGCCTCAGGCAGACAGACACCACACGCCGCACACCACACACATAAACGTACACCCACACAAACACACAGACACACAAACACACAACCACACAAATACATAGACACACAAACGCACAACACCACACACATACACACAACCACGCAATGCACAGAAACACACGACGACACACACAACACACAAACAAACACACAAACACACACAAACACACAAACAAACACACACGTACATGCACACATGCACGAAGAAAACGCACAGGCTTGCCCACACACCACCACACACCACACACCCGACACCCTACACCACACACCACACGCAAACACACAAACACGCGCACACACAGACACACAAACACACAGCCACACAGGCACACACAACCACACACAACCACACAAACACACATACACACAAACACACAGACACTCAAACACACAAACACACACACACCACACACAAACACACACAACACACACATACACACAAACACACGCACAACATCCAGACACACACAACCAAGCACACACGCACATACACGCACACACACAAGCACGCACACACACACCACAGACCCCACACCAAACACCACACACCACACACCACGCACCACAAACACACAAACACAGACAGACACACAGACGCACAACCACTCAAACACACAAACATACCAACACACAAACACACAGACCTACAAACACACAGACACACACACAAACACACAGACACACACACAAACGCACACAAACACACACAATCACAAACATAAACACACACAAACACACAACACACAAACACACAGACCTACAAACACACAGACACACACAAACACACAGACACACACACAAACGCACAACACACACAAGCACACACATAAACACACACAAACACACAACACACACAAACACACAACCATACACGCACACACGCACACACGCACACAAACACAGTCACACAAATTCACAACCACACAAGCCCACACAAACACACAACAACACACACACAAGCAGACACACACACAAACACAAACAAACACACACGTACACATACGCACATACACGCACACACACATGCACGCACGCACACACAACATCACCCACCACACACACTACACCCTACGCCACACACAGACACAGACAGTCACACAAACAAACACGCACACACAAACACACAGACAAACACAACCAAACAGACACGTACACACACGCATAGACACGCACACACGCACGCACGCACACACACCACCCCCCACAACACACCCTACATCCTACACCCTACACCACACACAGACACACAAACACTCACAAATAAACACACACACACGCACATACACGCACACACAAGCACACACGACCAAACACGCACACACACACGCACATACACCACACACCACACACCACACAACACGCACCACAGACCACACATCACATACCACAAACACACACAAACACACAGAAACTCAGACGCACAGACACACACGCACAGACACGCAGAGACACGCACAGACACGCACGCACACCACACACCACACACCAATCACCACACGCACACACATATATACCACACACAAACACCACACACACGCGCGCACCGAGGCTGTCCCAGGATCGGCGCCTGTGCCCTCCTGGGTCCAGGATGGGCCCGGCCAGTGTCGGTGTTATGCGCATATTTTTCGTCGCCCGCATGGTGGGGCACCCTCGGCCTGCAGGCAGCAGGGGGCGCGCAGCCAGGGCTTGCGTGGTCGCGCGCTCGAGCGGCTGCGGGCCACGAGTCCAGCCTCTCGACTATGTCCATCGAAGGGGCGGGATCGCAGAACCTCTCCCGATGCCTACACCCTCAACTGAGACGAAGCCAGGACAGGGACAACATCGGACTGGGATAAATTGGGGATCCCTGAGATTAAGCGGTTCTGGAGGATGTATCGGGCGCCGCGGCCTGCGAGCGCTCCGGAACACTCTGGAACGATGTATCCTCGTCCTAGTCCCGCCCGACGAACTCCTCTCCCGCGTGTTTCCTGACTCCCTTCCTTTTGTGTACTGGCAGGGAAGAAGGACAGAGTGTGGCGTCGGCCAGTCGCATACTTGTCGTTGAGCTTGATGCAAATGCGAAGCGCCTCCGCAATATGGCAGATGCAAGCGGGGGCCACCAGGAGACGTAACCAAACAACCAGGCAGAGAAGGGGGGGAGCTGGGGAAGGGGGGGAGAGCACCCACGGCAGACATCCAATTCGCAGAAGCCTTTGTAACGGCCTCGATGCCAATCAGCACTGCATCCAATCAGGCGCTCTTGGCGCTGCATGACGCCCGAAACACATTGCCCAAGAGGTCGCCTGCACGCCCCGCCTTCGCTCACCGCCAGTGTCGGGCACCATACGTGGGGACCACGCTCTGGCCGCACACGTGTGGCCTTCTGTATGCTATTCCGTATGCTCTCCTAGTGTCCAATACGATATGTTGCTGTCTGTACTGTTTAGATATGCTGTTTAGTCTTCTGCAGCCAAGACGTTTTTTGAAAGAGAAGGAGCAAGCGAAAACACTCAGCTGACAGAATACACAGCGTAGGAAATCGCACTGCCACTGATCATGTAATCTGAACTCGTTGCGCCCAAGGGCAAATCATCAATGTGTATTAGATCGGCGGGTACTCTCAGCTCCGTCTTGCCTACAGGGACCTACTTGTTTGTGTAGTGCCAGGATCGGCGACACTCCAGGGCACCGCATGGATCGCCGCGCAAACTTGCACTCCCAAGAGGACGCCAGAGAGGATGAGAGCGAAGAGGCGGAGAGGAGGAGGAGGAGGAGGAGGAGGAGGAGGAGGAGGAGGAGGAGGAGGAGGAGGCTTTCCCTGCAGAAGGGTGCTGTCCCCAAACGTCCCATGCTCGAAAGCGCCGGTCGAGGGACGGGACCGGAGCGGCGGCGGCGGCGGCAGAGGAGGAGGAGGAGGAGGAGGAGGAGGAGGAGGAGGAGGAGGAGGGCGAGCGTGCCGAATGGTGTGCCTGCGCTTGCGCTCCAGCCTCCGGCCTGCCATACAACGAGCCGGGGCCAGTCGAGGACCGAGGAGGAGGAGGAGGAGGAGGGAGGAGGAGGAGGAGGAGGAGGAGGAGGAGGAGGAGGAGGGCGGAGGAGGCGGATGAGGATGAGGATGAGGGAGGAGGACGAAGAGGGATGGGGATGGAGGAAGAGTGGGGGGGAGGGGAGAGAGGAACATTTCGCCGCACGCGACCTGTTTGGTGCTCTCGGCGTTGGACGCACGCCGCCCCCCCCCACTCCCCGCAGAGGGAACGGCCCTCAGCGGCCCACGACCACGAGGCGCGGCTACCTCCGGGCCTCTTCTTCTCCGCCACCTCCTGCTCCTGTGCCTGTTCCCCCTCCTCCTGCTCCTCCTCCTCCTCCTGCTCGCCCTATTCCTGCTCCTCCTCCTCCTCCTCCTCCTCCTCATTCTCCTGCTATTACTCCTCGTCCTCCTGCTTTCCTACTATTACTCTTCCTCCTCCTGCTCTCCTCCTCTTCCTCCTAATCTTCCCCCTACTCTTCCTCCTCCTCCTCCTCGTCCTCCTCTTCTTCTCCTTCATATTGTAATTCGTATTCTTATTCTTCGTCCGTTCTGCGACCGGTGCTGTGCTTTCACGGGGGATGCAGGCTCGTGCTGCCGTGTGAGGGTGCCCCTGCCAGCCCCGCGGCCAAGTATCGCCGCTCGCTCCTGCTCCAGTGCAGTGTCAAGCTCTCCCTCAGGGAGGCGTGCCGCTCCATGCTGCTGCACGAGCGCGACGCCTTCTTGGGGAGAGTCATCGACTGACACGTCGGGTCAGCGTGCGGCACCTCCTCTGTGTGCCCGCTGCCCCCCCACACTTGACAGACGGCTGGGAGCAGCAAGGCGTTGCCAGCTTGGCTCCAGCGGTACAACAAAACAACTTCTTCCTCCTCCTCCTCCTCCTCCTCTTCTTCTTCTTCTTCTTCTTCCTCTTCCTCTTCTTCCTCCTGCAAGCCACGGTGGCGTTCTGCCTGCGGCGCGTCAGGCGGCGGCGGCGGCCGACGACCGCGGCCGGCCGCACGGGACAAGGACAGGGCGCCCTGGAGCAGGCAAAGGCAGGGCAGGGCGCCGTGGACCGGGGCGGAGGATGGGGCAAAGACAAGGGCGCCCTGGAGCAGGCGGAGGCAGGACGGGGCCCCTCCTCCCGGGCCGTGGGGGCGCGGGTTGGAGCTGCGTGCGCGCGCGCCGTGAAAGCCACGTATGCGCGTTGCGTACGCGATGCAGCTGCGCACGAGGGAGGGCTACGTGCGAGCGCTGCGCCGCTGCGAGCACAGGGCGCCCCGGAGCGGGCGAGGGCAGGGCGGGGCGCGTCCTCCCATGCCGCGGAGGCGCGTGGCAGAACCCTCGCACGCGCGCCTCCCGGCGGGTGGATCTGCAGCCCCTGCCGGCCGATCGGTCCCCCCTTGCGCCCACACGGCACCCCTCTGGAGGTCGGAAAAGGGATGCGGCATAACGGGGTATGGTGCCAATCGTGGAGATGGCGATGCTATCTGCGACCAAAAAAACATCGCCAGAGTCCCCTGTACGTAGCACCCCGCAATTGCGGATAAGAGTGATGGGGCGGGCGCGGGAAACGCCGGCGTCGAGTCGGCGGACCTCGTGGACCTCACATTGCCTGTCGATGGCGCCCTCCTCCTCCTCCTCCTCCTCCTCCTCCTCCTCCTCCTTCTGCTCCTCCTCCTCCTCCTCCTCCTCCTCCTCTTCCTCGTCCGCGTCCTCGTCCTCATCGTCGTCGTCGTCGTCGTCGTCGTCGTCGTCCGTCTCCTCCTCCTCCTCCTCCTCCTCCTCCTCTCTCCTCCTCCTGCTCCACCTCCCCTCCTCCTCCTCCTCCTCCTCCTCCTCCTCCTCCTCCTCCTCCTCCCCCTCCCCCTCCCCCTACTACTCCTCCTCCTCCTCCTCCTCCTCCTCCTCCTCCTTTCCCTCCTCCTCCTCCTGCTCCTGCTCCTCCTCCTCCTCCTCCTCCTCCTCGTCCGCGTCCTCGTCCTCATTGTCGTCGGCGTCGTCGCCCGCCTCCTCCTCCTCCTCCACCTTCTCCTCCTCTTCCTCCTTTCCTTTTCCTCCTCCTCCTCTTCCTCCAAGAGCTTGGATGAGCGGAGCTTGAAGAGGTCTTGAGGGGCTCAGACGGCATGCAAAATCCGCCGCCGCGCTTGTGCGGCACTAGACTGGCGTGCTGTGTGGTAGGGTTCGTGGACGCCCCCCTCGGGAGGGTCCTTGAGCGCCCCGAGGCACCTGAATTGTGGGCGCCTTGAGGCAGCTTCCCCTGAAGCCAGGCTTTGGGCACGGATGCCGAATTGCAGCAGGCAGCTGTATTGTCAATGGACGTGTTCAGACAGCCCCGCCGCAGGCGCCGATGTGCTGTTGTAGAGTCAACGTGGGCCGGATCGGGGGAATGGCACGAGGGCTCTTTCCCAAACCAATGCGAGCAAGCCCGCCGAAAGGGCCGATTTGCGTGTTCTGACAAGTTCAGCGCGGGTGGGATCGCTGGTGGGCCACCCGGAACGAATGCAAAAACAGCCCGCCGCAGGCGCCGAATTTTTGGCTTGTTCAGAGAACGTAGTTTGGGTCGCGGGTGGGTCGCGGGCTCTCCACCTCCACCTGGAAGGAATTCAAAAAACAGCCCGCCGCAGGCGCCGAACATTTTGTTTTGTACACTGAACGCGGTTTGGGTCGCAGGTTCTCCACCTGGAACGAATGCAAAAGAAACCCGCCGCAGGCGCCGAAGTTTTGGCTTGTTCAGTGAACGTAGCTTGGGTCGCGGGTGAGTCGCGGGCTCTCCACCTCCACCTGGAAAGAATTCAAAAACAGCCCGCCGCAGGCGCCGAACATTTTGATTTGGACACTTTTGGGTCGCGGGTGGGTCGCAGGTTCTCCACCTGGAACGAATGCAAGCGCCGAAAATTTTGGGTGGGTCGCGGGGTGGGTCGCGGGTGGGTCGCGGGTGAGTCGCGTTGGGTCGCGGGTGGGTCGCGGGTGGGTCGCGGGTGGGTCGTGGGGTTGGTCGCGGTTTGGGTCGCGGGTGGGTCGCCAGTGGGTCGCGGGTGGGTCGCCGGTGGGGTCTCGGGGTGGGTCGCGGGTGGGTCGCGGGGTGGGTCACGGGTGGGTCGCGGGTGGGTCGCAGTGGGTCGCGGGTGAGTCGCGGGTGGGTCGCGGGTGGGACGACGACAACAACAAACAACAAACAACAAACAGCAAACAGCAACAACAACAACAACAACAACAGCAACAACAACAACATCAGCAACAACAACAACACCAACAACACCAACAACACCAACACCACCACCAACAACAACAATAATAATCCGCATCGCGGAATTCCACTTCAGCCACGCACCCAGGGACAGTGAATGACCGTTCGGTTCAGCCCCCTCACTCTGACATAAAACGAGCACCACGCCCCTTTATACCATACCCCTTTCCTGCCTCCAGAACTCCCCTCCGCTCTGTCGACCGGCGGCCGGGGGCGACGACGTCGGCGGCGACGGTCGACGTCGACGTCGCCCGCGCAGCGGCGGCCCTTCCCCGCCGCCAGGACGGGCCTCCCGCGGGGTCTTGGTCCACTCCAGGATCTTCTTGCCCCAGTACATCCGCATGAACCCCGCCCTCGGCTCGGCGCGCCCCCTCCCCTCCCCTCCGCCCCGCCCGTGAGGAGCTTGGCCACATGGGGGGGGGTTGGATCTCGGGGAGGGGGTGGAAGGAGGAGGAGGGGGGTGGAGGCAGACTGCGAACACGAGGAAGAGGAGACAGGGGAGGAAAGACGAGGGGGACGAGGGGGAGGAGGCGAAGGAGGGGGAGGATGAGGAATAGGATGTGTCAAGGGATGGGGATAACGAAGGAACCTATGATGATGCTGATGATGATGCTTATGATGATGATGATGATGATGATGATGATGATGATGCTGATGCTGATGCTGATGCTGATGATGATGATGATGGTGATGATGATAGCGATGCTGATGATGATGATGGTGATCATGATGATGATGATCCTGGTGATGATGCTGATAATGATGCTGATGATGCTGTTGATGATGGTGGTGATTCTGATGATGATGACGATGACGACGATCACGATGATGGTGCTGCTGCTGCTGCTGATGATGAACATGATGATGATGATGATGATGATGATGATGATGATGATGCTGATGCGGATGTTGATTATTAAGAACATTACGACGATGCTGATGATGAGGATGATGAGGAGGAGGAGGATGGGAAGAGGGATGGCGATGAGGATTACCAGCAGCAGTACGACGATGCTGATGCTGCTACTGCTCATGATGACGACGACGATGATGATGGTGATGATGATGATGATGATGATGAGGATGATGATGATGATGATGATTATCATGATGCTGATGATGAAGATGAAGATGATGATGACGATGATGATGATGAGGAAGAATGGAAGGGGGATTAGGAGGAGGCGGAGGAGAAACATGAGAAGGAGCCGACGCAATTGTGAGGGGGGGAGAGAGCGGACGAAGCAGAGGCGGTGGACGAGGGGTGAGGACGGAGAGGGGGGAGAGGGAGGAGGAGAGAGGATGGGGACAAGCTAGGTGCATTCCCGCCATACCTGACATCCTACCCCTCCCACGCATCCCTTTTCAGTGCGCTGATTTGTTCTGCATATGCGGACGAGTATAACAGCGGACTTGGAACTCCAAGCAAGACCCCATCGTGTTATGCACAATCGGGAAAGGGGGGCCTGCGTTCGTAGGTGGACCGATGCAAACCCAAGGCGCATCGACGACATTGCAATAATCTCTCCCTCCAAACTCCCTCTTCATCGGGCCCTGCACGAATCTTCTCATTGCGGGACATGCCCAACTGGGATTCAACCGCCTGAAGATCCTCAGCCGTGCCAACCACAATCCCTGGGGCTTCAGCGCAGCGAATCAATGTGACTATTGCGTCGTGGCAATGCGAAATCGTGCCACCATGCCATTCCTGGGATTCAATACCGCGAATAAACTTGACTGTTGTGTGCTGACAACCTAAGTCCTGCGAGCACGCAATTCCTCTGACTTCAACCGTGCAGGCCCTGGAAACTGTAGCAGACTGTTAAGACGAATGTGCGCGGCGCTAAGGCGCGAGCCACGTGCTGAAACATGACGGATACTTTTCACAACTTTCGTACGGATGTGCGCGGCGCAACAGCGAGAAACACATGTTGAAAACGGCCCGCCCTCCAACCATGAATATGTTGCAAGCTTTTAGGACGAATGCCAACGGCGCTAGATGCGAGAAACATATTTTGAAAACGACACGCCCTTCATCCGGGAAGCTGTGGCAAGTTTTGAGCTTCCACCTCATACAGGGTGAGACAGTCTACGCCGAAACGCCTGGTCCGCCCTACCGACGTCTGCGGGTGCGACAGGGAGGAGTTACTTCTAAGGAAGTGGGGTGGCGGAGGAGGAGGACGAGGTGGCGGATGAGCAGGAGGATTAGGGGGAGGAAGAGGAGGATGAGGAATGAGGAATGAGGATGACCAGGACAAGCAACAGCATCAGAAACAGGAGCGGAAGGAACGGGAGGAGCAGGAAACCAAGTGGAAGGCGGAGGAGGGGAAAGGAGGCAGGCGACAATGAGGAATGACTCGGATCCAGAAAAGCGGCCCGCGCTGGAGCGAGAGAGCCGTCCTGAACTACTAGAGCAGAGCCCCGATCCTAAAATGAGGCCCCCGCTGCAACAGGAACGCCATTCTGGGAGGACCGAGAACGTTCGGATTGGACACGCACACCAGTAACAAAATAATTCGGACCAGCCCTGTGTAAGAAAGATGCTGTTCTGTCATGGCCCTGAACCCCGGAACGTCCTGAGTCCTCCTCCACCGACCGCGTTTGACCGTGAGCCTTCTGCTGACGGCCCCCTGGGCCCGGCCACGGCCCTCCAAGGCCGAGGCTCGAGAACATGTTCTGCCTTGCTCGATTCAAAAGATTCGGAGGTCCGCGATGGGGGGTAGGAGATCTCCTCTCGGGGGGGGACGAATCGGTAGGATAGCAAAGGGCAGGGTGGAGAATCAGCTCACGTAGTTGGTGTTCCTGGCGGCTCCTGGCGCCGGGAGGCGCCCATGTATCGAAGACTGGGCCTGGCGGTGGGGCGGAAGCCAGTTGCATGCAGCAGCTTTCGCACCCCCCCTCTTCCCTATACGACCCTTTCGTCCAGCCCGACTGATCTTTTCAAAAGATTGGAGGTCACCGATCGGGGGTAACAAGTCTCCTCCCAGACCCATGCTGCGGTTCGTTCTGGCCAGGATTTCGAATAGGGATCAGGCCGTGGCAACGAGGGATCCCCAATGTGCCCAGATGGCGCTTCACGATCCCCAGACCCTCGACCCTTGATCCTCGAACCGCCAGATGGCAGCCTCTGTGGCCGCGAAGCCTGCACACCCGTGTCATCAAGATCACCAGGAAGGATGGAGCAGAAGGATGCAGGGCACCCGGAGCGCGCCAGGATGCCAGGGAACCCTTGGGCGGGGGAAGCAGCGACCATGCAAGCGATGTCCAGACTCCGGCCAACGTGAGGGACGCCAAGAGAAGGACGGCGAGCCCCGGCCACGGACAGGCTCTGCGACATCCACCTAAGGAACGGTCCGAAAGCCAGGGCCCCTCCCGAGGCCCATGTGGTCCTCATTGCGGCGTGCTGCTTGCACCCTGCCTCAAAGGCTCACGCCGCGAAGACATGTACACGGGCACTCGCCGACGAATTTTGCCTGCACCTTCAGGGAGGGTGGCGGTGTATAGAATCGCTGGCTCGTAATGGTGATGTACACACCGCCAACCTACCCTGCGACCCAGGAACTGCCCGCTGGAGGGAGTCTGTGTGTGTACATGTGTACATATGTATGTATGTATGTATAAGTGTGTGTGTATGCATGCATGCATGCATGCATGCATATATGTATGGATGTATGTATGTATGCATGTATGTATATATGTATATATATATTACGTATGTATGCATGTACGTATACATATATGTATGCCTGTCTGTATGTATGTGTGCATGTAGGTATGTATGTATGCGTGTAAGAATGTGTGTATGTATGCATGCATGTATGTACGTGTGTGCCTGTGCGTCTGTATGTATGCATGCATGCATGCATGTATGTATGTCTGGACATATGCATGCAGGTGTATATATACGTATGTATGGATGTATGCATGTATGTAGGTATTTATGCATGCCATTATGCTTGTATGGGTGTATGCATGACTGTATGTATGTATGCATGTATACATGCATATATTTATGTATTTATGTATGTATGTATGTATGTATGCATGCATGCATGCATGCATGTCTGTCTGTCTGTCTGTCTGTCTGTACTTATGTATGTATGTATGTATGTATGTATGTATGTATGTATGTACGTATGTATTATATATAAGTGTGTGTGTTTGTGTGCGTGTGTGCGCGTTTGGCGGAGAGGGGGCGTTTCGGGCCACGGCGAGCCTCGGCCACGCACAGGCTCCCCGACCCAGCTCCGGGGAGTGGCCCTGCCACGGGGGGGGGGGGGGGCGACCGGGCGGAGGGCGGGCTCGTGGTCGGGCGGGCGGGGCGCAAGGTTAAGTCGGGCGTGTCCCCCTACAGGGGGGGGTTGGACGACAAATCAAACATTGTGGGAAAATGCTCAACAATTGTCAAATATGCTCAACAAGTCGTCCCCGTGTTTTATTTTTTCCCTGGGAGGGTCCCTACCTAGGCTCTGTCTAGAAGGGTTCTTACTCTATGTGCTTAAAGGGCCGGGCAGTGTTCCCCGCCCCGGGCGGTTCCCCCGGCATCCGCCCCGCGGTTCCCCCAGTTGCGCCCCCTGGGTTCATCCAGCTGAGCTTAGCTAGGCTAAGCTAAACTAAGCTTAGCTTAGCTTATCTCATCTTAGCTTAGCTGTGCCTAGCCTAGCCTAGCTTAGCTTAGCTTAGCTTAACTTAGCTTATCTCATCTTAGCCGAGTTTAGCTTAGCTTAGCTTAGTTTAGCTTGGCTTAGCTTAGCTTAGCCTAGCCTCGCTTAGCATAGCTTAGCTTACCTTAACTCAGCGCAGCATAGCATTCGCACATCATATCATAGCATAGCACATCATAGCGTAGCCAAGCATAGCATAGCATAGCTCAGCATAGCATAGCGCAGCATAGCATAGTATAGCACAGCCTAGCATAACACAGCGCAGCCGAGCGTACCCTAACATAGCATAGCATAGCGCAGCATAGCAAACCATAGCATAGCATAGCATAGCGCAGCATAGCATAGCATAGCATAGCATGGCATAGCATAGCATAGCAGCAAAGCAAAGGCAAACCATCAGCAGCAACAACAACGCAAAACACACGCAACGCAACGCCGGACCTGCAGTGCTGTGTCTGTGTGTGTGTCTGTGCGCAGGCAAAGCAACAACAAAATCAAGCAAACGCAACATCAACATCAACACACCATCAACAACACAAGCAAACGCAAAGGCAAAGGCAAACGCAACACCAATGCGAAATTGTAGATGTAGACTTAGGTGTAGGTGTAGATGTAGATGTAGGTGTAGGTGTAGATGTAGATGTAGGTGTAAATGTAGGTGTAGATCGGAGTCTCGCTGTTGATGTTGA